TATAGTAGGTACTTACTTTTCGTACGTTGTACGTATGATAAGTTGAAATTAAAATAATAAAATCATTTTTTAACAGAAAACAAGTACCTACAGTAATACCAATTTTTAATATGTATGATGGGGTTACTTTATTATTTACTTTATGTTACGAGTATGTTACTAAATAAAATAAATAATCATCAAGAGGGTGTCGTACCCGCATAATATTATGTTCTCTCCGTATAAACATATACGACATGAGAAATTTTTGCTTACCAGTTTCAATTTAATGTTTTAGATTCTGAGCGGAGCGAGAAATGTATTGGTTTTACAATGATGTTTATTTCTTTTTCTGTTTTATTCTGTACACACTTTATCTCCCTCTAAGCTTGTTCAAAAGTATCAAACGTAGCATCTTTTCTGAAAGGTAATGTCCTTGAGCTGGTACTTTAGAGAAGTCATTTTTCGATTTTTGAAACGGTACTCGAAATAAAAGTGGTTAAAGAAGAAAAATGTACGATTTCACAATATTATAATATTAAATAATTACGGACGACGTTATTTTAATTTTTTTTTAAATCATAACAATATAATTAATATAGTATAACATATCCTAGGCTAATAAACCGTCTCCACTCAGAATCGTTTTTCGTATACAGGTAAGTAATTAATTTAAATTTWAAATTWTCTAAAATATCTATACAGGAAACACAAGTTTGTTTTCTGTCGATCTAGGTAAACTCCATAAAAGGTACATTTGTCAAGAAAATTTCCCACCCGAAAGCTTTGTACAGAATTTTACTCAAAATTTTTTGATAAATACTGCTATTCCCTATAATTATTAATCTAAAACACAGCCATCTACATCATTAGGCATTAACCAAAATGATGAATCTTAACAGGAGCATAATAATAAATGTCAACACCAGCTAAAACATATACACACTCAAAATCAGACATGGTAGAGTTCATTTTTCCGAGCTCCTCTTCAACTTTTTTTACGTCTCAAAAAATTAAAATAACAAATATAATAGATATGCCTAGCCCAAATTTAAAAAGGAAATCTGATTTAGTAGAAATAGATACACTTAGAAAAGTTAATTTAAAACAAAAAACAAATTAATTCATAGTAAAATAAATCACATTTCAAAATTAAAAAAAAAGAAGAGTTAATACTTTTAAGACCCATAATAATGTTAAGAACTCAATAAATTTGCATAACTTTCCATCAATTAATTAAAAGATAGGTGTCGTCCGTGGACATTAAATGAAAAAAATTTAGCTTTAAATTTATATCATAAATTACCAACAGCATATAAATTTCAACGTTCACAAAAAGTTAATTTACTTGGGAAACTATTTGTCGTTGGATTGGTCAATCAAAATTATTACCAGGTTTTAGTAAAAAATTTTTTCAGTCATAWACAAAAAAAATTTGATTCATTTGATTACAAAGRAAAAGCTTGCACTATTTGTTTTGATGAAATGTACCTATGTAAAAGAATTTATAGAATATTCYAAAGAATTTGATTTTATTRAAGGTTTTGAAGACTTGGGTCATTATGAGAGGACCAACTAAAGTGCAAACTGTGTTTTAGTGTTTATAGCTCGAGATATTTATTCTYCATAGAAATTTCCAATTGCATCTTCAAAATCGGCGAAAACAACTTGTGGGTCAATGTAATCACACAATGCTGAAATAGCTTTTCCGTAGGTAACTGAGGTTTTATCCACCAAAAACCAATAAATCAGGAGAAGATGGTGTCCGTTATGTAAAAAATGGATGGTAAAAATTTGGTAAACAAATTTTGGATATCACTTGAACATGCCATCAACATAAATAAAACGGCTATTTATTCTTAAGTATGTTCAAGTTGGTGTCACATACTCACATGTAAGGCTAACATTATTTGATACTGTATCATTATGAAATAAAAAAGTCTTAATACCAATTTTATCTAAAGCATCCTGCGCTCCCCCTGATGACATAGGTAATCTTGATACTAATTTTGAACGTACATAATAATGTCTTAGGAATAGCGTCGACATCTTGTGTCRTTAAAACATGTAGATCRTTAGGCGCGAGGTCACTTTGAAGAAGTTTCGCGGGCCTTTCGTGCAAATTTTCTTGTGCTTTACGCTTWAAACTATTACTAATCTCCCTCCTCCTTAAAACACTATCATAAAATTGCTCATGGTTATAGTCCAGATGTTTATCGTATCTTTCGCCAATACTGTTTTGCATAAAATAAGCCTTACAACCACGTGTTATACATTTCCGACGCTATACATCGTCAACTAGTTTTTTTATGGAAATAAAAGAAAAAATGTTCTACACATATTTTCCACGGATTTTACTGAACATTTAGGAACGTACACACAACGACGGCGGATATCGTGAACAGACTGAAGTTTGGACAAACTGCACAAGCTGACACGATTGTGTTTCATATTCATATCGCTTATCCAGTAATTGTACCTATTTAAAACCTATTGAAAATAGTACCTATTTAAATTGTCGATATTACCAATCAGCCATCAAAACATAATATGCTATAGATTAGATATCGATGATATACGTGTCATATAATATACACGGCGACATATGATATTATATTATATATACATATATAATTAATTTCAGTTTAGAATGTTTAGATGTTTGATATAATATGTTAGCTTATTTTCCGTGTTTTCGATATTATCAATATGTATGGTATTTTCGGTATTCCGTTTTAAAAATTAATTTAAAGTATATTTAACGGTACATAGTATACAGGTATAAGGTATATCAACCTGAAATCGGGATACCAGTATGACCGTCAGCTGTTTGGGAATTTACCTGTATGGCCGATTGCGAACGTTTTACTTTTTTTTATAACACGATTGCGAACGAATGTCACTTATCGGATGAATTTGTTTTTTTTAGCCGAAAACCGAACGATTGCGAACGTTTTTTTAAGCTACGTTGCCAAGTTTATATTTCAAAATATATATATTATATATAAATAATACAATGTGACATTATAACTACGTCACAAACTAAAATACAATTATACAAAATAATAGGTCATGTTAAAAACGGGGATTGATTAAAAAAAATTCGATATTAATACTAATAATACTGTTCAATAATGTTTAATAAGTTACAAGCAAATAAATACACAAATACATTTTAAAAAATTAAAATAGTTGTTCTGTATTTTTTTTTTATTTAAATTTTTTCCTTGGTAGGAATTATCAGTTTTTTGTAAATATAAAATTAGATTCTTATGAATTTTATATTCATTTAAATTTTTTAATGTTGATTCAATTTTAGATTTATCTTTTTTGGCCATAGGATTATGTACTTTATTTTTAATAGAATTCATTATTGTCAAAGTTTGTGCCTGTGTTTGTTTTAAAA